GATAGAATACTTGAAATAGAATTGCAGGTCCAACTCTTCCTTCGTGCTCAAGTAGGCTAATGCGTCATCTGCGTCACCGTCTCTCAACTTTTCTTTATAATAAGATTTCATGTCATTATAGAGATCCTTTGTGGTAAACCCTACATTTTGATATCCTCCAGATTGTTGCAACATGAAATCCTTAATATGACTTGTACGCATACCAACATAGTGTAATGATATAGCTTATGCTCTGTCGGGGCTCTTGACATGCCTGTGTGATTGGAGAAATGGAACACCACGTTGTGGAACCAATTCATGATTGTGGTCTATTACAAACTCTTTTACAGCCTATTTTTGTGTCTTCCTATCAAACTTCACTCGAAATGTTGTCTTGCATCCAAGTCGTGTAAATCATCGTGGTTTCCTTGATCGCTCTACGCGTTCTACATTCTTTTTCGACCGATACCCTTCTCTCGAACAAACCCACTATCTTGAAACTGGCATGTTGTTCTTGTTATGCTTTAGGTCATCCTTACGAACACTTAAACCCACATATCTACCATATGTGTTATAAAATTGTCAGGCATCTTCATGTGATATGAATGTCATTAAAGGACTTCTGTAGATGTTAAATCTTCCCTCATTGCAATGGCTTCATTGGATGTTAACTCATCCTTGCTTGCAATGGCTTCATTGGATGTTAACTCATCCTTGCTTTTCTGATGGAAGTCTATGTTCTGATATTCATCTTTTTCAAAATCATGCAATATGTCATCTACTATATCACTATTTAAGTCTATAAGAACCTACTTTCCTTTTTCCATCTGTGTTGATTATACCTAAGCACAAATAATTAACAATCTCATCTTTAAGAAATGACTACTATTTCTACCAATCAAAATAAGAAGATAAGAGTTGTGGACATAACACAACTAATAACAAACATCTACGGAAGAAAGATTGTTAAATACTTACCTTGTTTGATATGAATCTTCCAATACCTTGCATTCCACTTAATTGCATGGATGATCAAGAAAAGATCATTAAATATATTGGATTGAAGTTAGATGACTGATGAAAGAATGAAGGTTTTAAGAGTGAATTTAATGAAGAAACGTAGGCTATAATTCAAATTTGACTTCAGTTTGTCCAAGGTTGAGAAAATCATAGTAGTTGGAAAAGTGGTGTTACATTTACTTCACAATTAAATGTCATTTATTACACAATATTTATATTACCTACTTCAAAACATATTTTTTTTACAACTAATATTTCAAAATTAGAACGTTTTAATAAGGTTAAATGAATTAAAATTTAGTATTCTATTTAATATAATTAAATTTTAGTTGGATATAATATAATCTAAAATTAGTCCTGATTTGATATTAAATTAAATATCACTTTAGTTTTAAATTAAATAAATATTTTTTCAATATTTCAAAATTAAATCTCATTTTGTATACTTATAGTCCATTAATTTAAATAGCAATTTACTGAATGTGTTGAAAATGAATGTCCATTAATTGGATGATGTATGTTTTGGGGGTGGGGAATGACATTCAACTTCCTAGTTTTTGACTTCACAAAATTGAAAAAGTAAAGATCATTCAAGATTCTCTTTGTTATCGTTCTTTAAAAGTGGGAGTAATAAGTTTAAGCAGATATTGGGGGTAAGATTATCACACTTTTGCTTAATATTACAATTATTAAGGTAACCACTAATTGGGGTAAGGTCACTAATTTTTGGTTAATATTAAAACTTGGGGGGTACGTTTACCACTTAATTGGTACAGATTGTTACCTTTAAAATAGTAAGAACACATAAAGTACATTTATTTCACAATTAAATGTCATTTATTACACAACAATTATATTACATACTTCAAAACAAATTTTCCCATGTATATATATGGACAAAGAATGAAATAAAAAATTTGTGCAACTAAAAATTAATCAAATATTAAATAATTAAACATGTGATAAAATTGTTTGATGTATGCTTTGGGGGTGGGAAATGACATTCAACTTCCTAGTTTTTGACTTCATAGAATTGAAAAAGTAAAGAGGTAACCACTAATTCGGGTAAGGTCACTAATTTTTGCTTAATTTTAAAACTTGGGGGTACGTTTACCACTTAATTGGTAAAGATTGTTACCTTTAAAATGGTAAGAACACACAAAGTACATTTATTTCACAATTAAATGTCATTTATTACACATAAATTATATTACATACTTCAATACATTTTTTTTTTACATCTCATAATTGAATGTTAATTTGATTAAATGAAATCTCATTTTGTATACTTTTAATAGTCATACTTGTGCCGCATGATGAAATATAAGTGTTGGTAGATTCAACATCCAATGTGTTTTATTATATTCATTCGATGAGATCGAATATTAATTTATTTTTATTTTTATTTTTATTTTTATTTTTATTTTTTTGGGTAAATTTACCACTTCTTGTGAGTAAGGTTACCACTTTTTAGGGGTAAGTGTACCACGGTTTGGTTAATATTTATTCGGAATTTATGGGGGATAATTTTACTATTGTGTAAAATTACAATTTTTTAAAAAAAGATTGCCACTATTTTGGAAAAAGATACTACAAATTGGGGTCAGGTTTAGCAGATTTTGTGGGTAAGATTACTATTTTTTTAGTTGATATTACAATTATTAAGTTAACCACTATTTGGGTAAGGTCACTAATTTTTGGATAATATTACAACTTTGGGTACATTTACCACTTTTTTATTTTTGGTTAGGTATGGTTTAAATTTATTTATTTTTATTTTTTTTATGCTAGGATGTTTTTAGATATTTTTTTTAGTTATGTTACGAATTTATTTATTTTATTGTAACACTTTTTTTATTAAAACGATTTATTCAAAAAATTTCAAATAATTATTTCAACTTTCTATTTTTTCGGGAGGCTTTCCCAACAAGCTATACACGCCACCCAAGAAACCAACTCCTCACTTCTCAGACCCCTTCCCCTCCCTTGCCCAACCCTTTGCCCGAGACTTTCTCTCTCTGTCCTGTCTTTCTCTCTCTCACTGCACACACACCTTGACAACATCACAACGCCACCGCCACAATGCCATCGTTTTCGAGGTATTTCTCTCTCATCCCCTCTCTACATCCTATGCTTGAAACATACATGCACAAACCCCCTTTTCCAGTCCCTATTTTCAATCCACACACTCTCTCACTCTCTTTTTGCTATCCCAATGCCAGCCACACCTTCAATGTCATCTCCATAGCCACACTGCCATTGCCTCCGCCACACCCCAACAACGTATATCTCCATCTTCTTTGCTTCTCTCTCTGTCACACACACACAGACGCAAACTCACCTCCTCCCAAAGTTATCCTTCTACACATACCCCCCCTCTTCACCCTCTGGACAAGCGCAACCCACCCCCCCAGAACACACACAGAACACCTCCCCCCCCCCCCCCCGAACTCCCCTCTTACGTAGACCCCCCTTTCCCCTCTTCCCTTATGTGAAACCTACGCCCCCACAATCACACTCTTCCCTCTACGTAACCCACCGCCCAAAAAAAATGCCCAACACCCCCTCTTCAAAAAAAAAAATTAATAATACCCACACAAATACCCATCACACACAAACCACACACTCACACACCCGTTCCTTCACCCACACAATCTCTTGGATTTTGTTTAATTTAGAATTTTTGAACTTGGTTTCATTAGGTTCACTATGAATTTGGTTTGAGTAGGTTCAATTTGAATGTGGTTTCATTATGTTCAATTTGAATTCAATTCAAATGTTATGTTTACCTAGATTTATTTTTTAAAATTTTTGCCAAATCTATTATGATATGTGCATACGTTAGTTTTTGGGATTATTGGAATTAGTATTTAATTGGAACTAACTATTGGAAATAATATTTGAGAGTAATTAGAACTTTTTTTTGGAGTAGCTGGGAATTATGTGTGTCAATAGATATTGAGAGTAATTGGAGCTATGAGAATTATATGCTTTAATTGAGATTGGAATTAGGTTTATAGGATTTTTTTTTCATTGAATAGCCAATTTTATGCTTAATTGGAAATTATAATTTTGTGCTCGAATTGATTGATTGTTGTTCTATTGGTACCATTGAGGTTACCTACAATATTTTGTGGGTCCAGATTGATTTTTTAATAATAATTGTGGGTCTAGATTGATTTAAACTAGCGTAACTTAAAAAAAAGGACAAATACATTGTTACTTGAAAATATTTGTATGCTATTGAAAATATTTGGGTTATTTAGATAATTGTATGTCAATTAGTATAAAATAGGTTTTTATAGGGTCGTGATTTAGATAAATATTTGTGTGTTAATTGAATGTTGTGTGTTAATTTCATTCAATAAGATTTGTTTGTTTAATTTGGATGTTGAATAAAGTTTGTGAAATTTTAATTTTTTTTTAATTATGAAAATAGATTTATAGTTATGATAAAATAGGTTTATTATGAAATTTCAATTTGGTTTGAATATTATAGCTTTGGTGTTTTGAATGTTAAATTGATTTGAATGTTATAATTTGATTTTCATGTTTTAATTTGGTGTTAATTTTGGTGTTTTGAATGTTATATTTTTTCAAATAAGTTTGATAAGTTTTGTTATAGTTTGAATAGATGTTATAGTTTGGGTGTTTTAGATGTTAAATTGGTTTGAATAATTCTTTTGATGATACATTACATAACCACGGATTGAATAATGGTGATGGTGGGTTTAGGCACTTTGAATAAAAAGTGTGTTCATTAATATACTCATGATTATTATATTTTTGTTGAGTTACATGCCTTTTGAATTATTGATTGGATTTGTGTGCTTAGATATATAATTATTTGTGTGGTTGTTTTTGTGTTGTGTATAAAGTTTAAATTGATTGTATTACTATTATTATATTTTGGTTGTAGTAGTTGGTTCGAGTTGTGTTTTCTTTAAGTACTTGATTGTACCAATAATTGGAGCAAAAATTCAAATAGAATTTGGATTGATATGGGGGTTGAGGATGCAAGATGGCAGCATATTGTTCACGAAAGAAACAAGAAATTCTGTAAAAGTTGTAGGAAGCAGGGCCATGAAGAGCTTGAATGCAGGAAGAAGAAATCATTGGAGCAGAAGTTGGTCCCAGATGGAAAGAATCCTATACCAGAATTAGTAGAGGGAGAAAAGGAAACTTTGATCAAGAAAAAAGGAAAACAAGTTCTAATGGCGGAGAAGGAGGGGAGGCAGATTCTGTCGTTGGGCAGTGGATTTAGGAAACATTTGGATATTAATGGAGTCCAAAAGGGTATACAGTTCAAAGAAGTATGGAAACCACAATATAAGAGGAAAGACACAGCTGAAAAAGGTAAGGAATTGGAGGAAGGTCTGGCCAAATCTCTTGAATATCCTGCAGTAGAGATTGTAGGGATTACTTCCAAAGAAACCACAGTAAATTTGGAAACTGGGGATCCATCGGGCAAGGATGGGTAGAATTCGAAAACAATTGATTCTCCGACAGATTATGCTTCTCCGAACAAGGTTAATGAAGATGCTGATAATGAAAATGGTCGGGTAGATGTTACAGTAAATGAGTAGTGCATTTCAGATACGTTTCTATTAGATCATCACTTTGAACACCAAGAAAGAGGCGAAACTGTTGTGGATGAGGTTATGGGGTTAATATGTAACAAAGAGCTGCCGGATAAGGGGTTTTATTCCGATAATGACATAGATTATTGTATTGAAGTTGATTCCCAACATTCAGATTCCGGTATCGGGGAAAATGAGCAAGTTGAAGAAGTTCAAAGTATCCCCCATATGGCTATGACTACTAGATCCAAGTCTAGCAAACATTCCCATTCCAATTCTTTAAATGATTAATATTATTTCATGGAATGTGAGGGGAGAAAATAAAGAATCCTCAAGATTAAGGTTGCAAAAATTAGTTAGAGCAAATAATGTTGGTTTGGTTGCTGTTTTGGAGCCTAAATTGTTGCCAAATAAATTAAGAAGTCTGTGTCTTAGTCTGGGGTTCTCTTCGTCATTAGCTAATCCTTTAGCAGAGAAATATATATGGGTTCTTTGGGACCATAGGATGCAAGTGGAGGTTTTTTGAGTTCACAAACAAGCTCTTACAGTTAAAGCTTCGTACATGGGTTCCTTGCCTTTTTTGGTTTCATTTGTCTATGCCAGGTGTGATAATATTCTTCGTAGACCCTTATGGGACCATCTCTCTACATTGTTAATGTCTACCATGCCATGGATGGTGATAGGGGATTTCAATGCCCTTATGTCTTCAACGGAGAGGAGAGGAGGTTCACCCCCTACTTTATCTACTATGCATGGGTTTATTACTTTTATTAATGTAGCAGGCTTACAAGACTGTGGTTACTCTGGAACAAATTTCACTTGGTGTAACAATCGTGAAGGAATGGCTAGAATGTGGCAGCGTATTGATAGGGCATTAATGAATGTAGAATGGGGCGAAAGATTTCAGAGTGTAGTTGTGGAGCATGTTGCCAAAGGTTCTTCTGATCACTGTCCACTGATTATCAAGAATTCTTGGGATTTCAGAGTGTATTAAATTCATGGATATGTGGGTGGAACACTCGGGCTTCCTGACGTTGGTGCAAACTGCTTAGGTGGGTTCTTACTCTACAAATCCCATAAAAAATGTGTTTCTCAGGCTCAAGTATCTCACAACCCATTTAAAAATTTGGAACAAGGAAACATTTGGTAATGTATTTGACAATATCAAGAAGTAAGAACAGTTATTGTTGCAAGCAGAGATTGAAATGGAGAATCATGACTCTGCAGCAAATATTTCATCAGTGGAAAGGGCAAGAATGAAGCTGGACAATGCATTAAGAATATAAGAGATTTTTTGGAGACAAAAAGCTAATGTGAAGTGGACTATTGAGGGGGAAAGAAATACAAGACTATACCATGCCATAGAAAAAGGCAAGTCATAATGAAACAGAGTTCAAAGGGTCAAGAATGAGGAGGGTAGTTGGGTGGAGGAGGAAGCTCTACTCGCAGATTGTGCCGTGGACTTCTTTTCTAGTCTTTACACTTCAGAACCCCATCATATAGAGGAGGAGCTATTTTCTTTCATCCCTAAGTTGGTCACAGAGGAGGGAGGACATTCTCATGCTATTGACCCCATTTACCCTGCAAGAACTAAAGGAAGTAGTATTTCAAATGCCCGTGTATAATGCCCCAGGTCCGAATGGTTTCTCAGGTAAGTTTTTTCAAACCACTTGGGATATAATTAAATAGGATCTGTTGGAGGCTGCTAATTTTTTCATGAAGGGTGGAGTGATTCCTAGATCAGTTAATGTTGTAATGCCAAAATATCTGTCTGGTAATTAATGGCATTAGACATGGATTTTTCCCTAGCTCCAGGGGGTTGAGGCAAGGGGATCCCCTATCTACCAACTTATTTATTCTCGCAGAGAAAGTCTTGAGCAAAGGTTTAAAACATCATTTTTAGCAAGGTTTTATCAAGATCTTTCATCCAGGTAGAGGTGCCATTTTGCTTCACATATGTTATTTGCAAATGATACTTTAATCTTTCTGAAGGGCACAAAAAAATCTATGGTCAATATGTTGAAGTTTGTGGGGAGATATGAAACATCTTTAGGGCAAAAAGCTCACTTGCAAAAAGCTCACTATATTGTTCCCCAAGAATCTCGTTAGCAAGGAGAAATAGATTGTCACAGGTGGCTAATATCCCCATTAAATCTTGTCCACTTACCTACTTGTGTTGTCCAATCATTAAAGGGAGAGTAAAACTGCACTACTTTGAAGATCTTTTGCACAAGTTTCAAGTTTATTTGGAGTGATGGTATACTAAATTGCTCTCAAATATGGGCAGAATAATGCTTATCAAGTCAGTCTTACAGTCTCTACCAGTCCATCTTATGTCCTTTGTAAGCCTACCCAAGGGAATCATAACTAAGTTAAACTTCATGATGGCTTCTTTCCTTTGGTCCAGTAAATCGGGGGTTAAAAAGAGGCATTGGTGTTCATGAAAATCTATTACATTGCCAAAAGAAGAGGGTGGATTGGGTATCAGAAGGTTTGAAGAGGTGCAACAGTCTTTTAGAATAAAGCAAGTCTGGCATTTGATGAAGGGATCCTCCTTATGGTCATCTTTCTTCACTACTAAGTTTCTTAATAATCAGCATATGCTCAGAAATCTAAGGCGAAGGCATTTGAGATGTTTCAATACTTTGCAGCCTTATTTTGAGATGGTAGTGAGTAACTCCAAACAATTGGTGGGAACAGGAGTTTCAATAGACTTCTGGTGTAATAATTGGACAGGATTTAGGCCCCTTATATTGAGATATTCTATTATGCCTACACATTTTCCATAGCTATCACAGGTTTTGATTAATGGACATTGGGAACTGAACATGATCCAACAAGATATAGACACCCATTTGCCGCAAGAAATCTTAACAGCTGGCATTTGCTTGCTTGCTACACCGGATAGACTCGTCTGGAAACACACATCTCTGGGGAATTTCTCTGTTAAATCTGCCTGGGAATTACTTAGAGATAGGGGATGTTCAAATTCATGCATCCATAGTTTGGAAGCAAAGCGCTCCCCCCCCCCCCAACGCTCAATTGTTGGGGTTGAAAATTTTGAAGAAGGCTTTACCTATGGACTCTACATTTCAAGCAATTGGAGTTAATCTAGTAAGTAGATGTGCCCTGTGTTGTCCAAAAGTGGATACAGATGACCATATCTTTATCTCCTAAAAATTTGCTGCTTTTATTTGGAAGAAATTTTTGGCTCTGTTTGGTTTTCAACTTATAGCTAATGAACCTCCAATTACAAGATTTATGAGGATTGTTAGAATTTTCAAGCGTGCATCTCTCTTTCACACCTTAATGAGAGGTTTTCCATTGATTATATATTGGCAGCTTTGGAAGGAAAGGTGCAGAAGGCTTTATGAGAATGAAAAACATATTCCTTCAGTGGTTTTTAGGACAATATTGAATCAATGGAAACTACAGGTTCATGTGGTGAAGCCTAAATCAGTTGATTCTCCTCCAGATAAAATGTTGCTTCAGTCACTTAACATATATACTACTAGTTCTGTGGGAATACATGCAAAATGGATTAGCTGGTCCTTGCCTCTATAAGGCTTTTTAAAACTAAACATTGATGGTGCATCAAAGGGAAATCGGGTTTGTCAGGAGGGGGAGTTGTGCTCAGAAATCACTGGGGCCAACTTGTCCTTGCAGGTTCTTATTACTACAGTCATTGTTCGAATATGGAGGCTGAAATGAAGGCATTATTGAGTGGATTATTATTGTTGCAGGATCATGGATTAGAGGTTTATCCTTTAATTATTGAGTCTGACTCTAAAATGTTGGTGGATATGGTCACTTAGAGGCAAATATCATCTTGGAAATTCTAGGAGGTTTCAAAGAAAATATTTTCGATTATTTGAAGTTTTGAATTTCAAATCCAACATTCATTTAGAGGGGGGAATGCAGTTGCAGATTCACTAGCCAACCAAGAAGTCAGGGATGGGATTTCTCGCACTCATTGTAAAACCCGGGTAATATTGAACTTTTTTCGAAAAAGGGTAAAATGATAATTTGTCACTATAATGCGAGATTAAAATCCATATTTTTCTAGAACTTGGATGACGCAATAGACCTCACCGTTGGATTCGTATCGTGAAATTGAGTTACCTAGTCAAATTTTATCAAATTTCGAAATAGTCAAATTTTTTACGTTTTTCGAGACAACTTGAGGTCGAATGATCTCATAAAGGTCCCCAAAAAATAAATTTTATAAAATTTCCTTAAAATTGAAGGAAGTTCAAATAAAATTAATTTGAACTTAAACCGAGACAAAATTAACTCGTTTCGGGAAAAAAATGAACCCGAAAATAAGAAACGTATAGTGCAATGTGGACCGCACAATTAAAAAATATAAATAGGGGTTAAATATCTGATTTTTGGGATATTTCTTCTCCCCTTGTTTGCTGAGTTCACACGTTAGAAGGGAGAGAAGAGGGAAAAGAGAAAAATCAAAAATCTCAAGGCTTCTTCTTTGATCTACAGAGTTCCATCGGTCGGAATCGTTTGGACTAAGAGTTAAAGTTAGTCTACGCAACGAGAGCTACGCATACGTACCAAGAATGAGGGATTTCACTAAAGATCCAAGGGGAGAATTTTATGAAATCAAGAGTTTTGGAGCTAGGGAGTGTCCTTGAGGCTTTCTACCTTTCGTTTTATACTCCAAAAGGTAGGGTTCCTCCTACTTTGGTTTATTGTCTTACCTAGGTTGTCCTATGAAATGGGTAAGAGTATATAATGATGATTAGTGGATTTTATACCTACGAATTGAGTGCTTTCGACTTAATAAAATTGTAAGTTTTCAATTATTTTATGTTCATTTTTATTCGTTTTGTGTGTTTTGATGTTATTTTGTAGGAATGACTATTTGGGAGGAAACAAGGTCAAAA